TGCCATTTCCTCCTCTCAGGCAGTGATATTATTGTGGTTTTTATATGCTACAACTGGAAACATTTGGGAGTTTCAATAGGATAAACTTTATAAAGTTATATGTCCCATGCAGGTGACACTGCTGCTGCACAGGGAACTCTTTCCATTTACCCTCAAATCTTCTAATCCCTGTGTGAAGGCCAGGCAATGTTGTTCCCTGGCACAATCTTGAACATTAAGAGAGATGCCTGATTAATGCATGTGCACATGCAGCACTCCACAGAGATATGCCTGTTAACATGCTGCTGTCAATAATGTGCTTTCTGGAAGACAGGATGCTCAGCCATGCTAAGAAACAGAGCACAGGCCATGCCTGGGGACATTCCTGTGGTGTTCAGCCCTAAGACAGACGTGCAAGTGAAGTCTGCCTTGTTTTCTGTCATGACAGTTTTTATATGGGAACTGAGCAAAGTATCATTTGCAAGTTAACTATTTTAGTGAGTGGATGCTTTGCTTCTGGTCCACCAATTTTGGCAACTGAGAAGGCATATGCAGAATACATACCAGAAAATGCAAACAGATGTATCACAACATGGACTGCATGAGGATGCTGTAAGGGAGGATACAGCGTCGGTGGGATAACTCTTGAAATCTCATGCAGATGCCTGAATTTAGGCAGCTAGTATTAGATGAGGGATCCCAGAATGTCTGAGATAGCCACATAGAGTTGGTAGCATTGTGACAGGAACATCTGTCACAGAGGGTCCACGTCATAATGGAGGCCAGGCATCTTCAGCATTTGATTATCTGAAAGGGCATGAGAAGCCCAACAGTTGAGTTGCAGCCTTAAGTCAGGAGGTGTCAATAAAAACATGGTTCAGTTCTTAGCAACTTGTTTTCTATGGAAAATCAGTATTTGTCAACACAATTCAGCATTTGGGAACACGATTCAGCATTAAATAGGCATTACTTCAATGTTTTTGTTTGTGTTTCTGCCCTCTGTTGTGGAAAGAAGCACCTTCATTAAGAACTTATGAAAGCTGTCAGCTACAAGGTGATATTTGAGCTCAGTTAGCAGGCTGTGCAGACTACCTTAATGGCTCAGTAACAGTGCAAATGATTTGCAAATGTTTGAAATAACGAAAATCAGATTTTTTTATTTTTTAAATAACAAGAATGGGATTTGTCTTGCTGCATTGCAGAGATACTGTGTTCCCAGCTAGTTTAAAGGCTATGTGGTTTGCCTTGTCCTTTCAGGAACAGCTGTTTGGTTTCTGCCAGGGAAGATGGATGGTCCTTGTTCTCCCTTGGTCAGGTCAAGAGCTGAGCAAACACACGGAGCTGATAGCCTCAGGCAGTTCATCGCCTATGGATCAACACCACTGCTTGGAGCCTCTCCTGTTTTCTGTTTCTCACCCCCTTCCCCCTCCCTGCCCCCATAAATATGACAAGCGGTGCTGCACTATACAAACTCTTCTTCCACAGTGGAAACATCTGCAGCTTGAATGCTCCTGCAGAAATGTCACTTGGGGAAATCACTCTTCGTTTTATGAGAAACCTTTCTTTCAAGCCCTCAGAGGGGCCAGGGAGGGAGGGTACACTAGGTTTGACACTAGTTCTGTGTTGTTTTTCAGGGATTTTGCAGAAGAATGTTGTGTCTGATTTTGTGGATTGTCAAAATGAAGCCAGATGGCAGTGGATTAAGTGTAATGCTGTTTTGTTGTTCTTGGGTTCGCGACTGCGCTTCCCTTGAGCGAGGGAGCCCTCCCCGCACAGCAGCCCCAGCCCTGTGTGCCCCCGGCCACCGAGGGCCCCTTCCCCTGGGCTCCCGAAAATGCTGCCCTGGAGGGAGGTAGAGTGGAAGCTTTCTTTTGGTGAGGACTGCTAATTGGAAACTGCTTCCTTGACATTTTTCATGCCTAGAGTATTCACCAAGAGCCTGTTTGCTGCGCTTTCCATCCAACGAAATACAGGTATTTTCCACTTGCAAGTAATGGGTTTGCTTGCTGACGTGAAGTTGCTGGGTGAGCAGGTGAGTCAGTGAAGCCTAGTTTCTTACAGTTTCATGTTTGGTAGATGTAATTCCTGATGTTTAGAAAGGTGTGAGTTTAATTGAAGTGTTTCCCAGGAGACATTCAGGAATTTCAAGCCTTTTGTTCATTCCTCAGCGTATGTTTCTTCAGTTTTTCTTTCCATATGAATGCTTAGTGGGGTCTCTTTCCTCTGTTACTCTACCTTATTCTCTTTACATGTATGGGCACATAATATCTTTGAAATCACTATCCTTTGTCAAACTTAAGGTGGTGGGAAAGGTTACTGGACTCTGAAGATACAGAGAGAAGACAGGTAGACAGATACAGACAAAGGTGTAATTGCTGCAACTTTTTTCCCTAAGAAATTGGGTGAAGGATAAATTCTTAATTAGGGAGAAAAATAATTTAAAGCTGAGATTCTGAGCATTTTCTAATTCTAAGCATTGTCTCTTAATAAAAGGTAGACAGGGAGAAAATTTCCTCTTGTAAGACTTTTTCTTTTCTATACCCTTTCCCCTCTTTATGACACCTTTATCTTTCCAAGACAACTTTTGACTGACTGGGTTACAGAGCACAGTCCTGTCACTAATTCAGAGCCTTGAAGGGCCACTTAAGTCCTGCTCCATGTGCTCAGCTCCTACAGAGCAGTGCAATACCCCCTAATTCATGAAAACACCAACAAAAGGTGCTCTACATTTTTCCTTTCAGACTGTAGCATCACCTCAGCCACAAGTTTAATACTTTTCCTTTAATTTACTCCTCCAGGAATATTCATTGCTATTTGAGTTCAAACCAGAAATTCTATTTTCTAATGAAACTGCATGTTCTCATGCGGACCACTAAGAGCCTGTTCAGGTTTCTTCAAAAAATCCTTAGGCCTGGAAAGCATTCTGACAAAAACCTGCTGCTTGATAACACAGGAGAAACCATAAACCAAGTCAGTGCTGCTGCCTTGTTATGCTCTGTCCTGTTCTTTCCTAAGACAGCTTCTCAGCTGCTCAGGAATTTGTTAGAAAGTCAGCCGTGCTTTGCAACTGTTCAGATCTTTTCAGCCTTCTTCAGCAAGTCACCATCCCCTTTTTTTTTTTTTAAATCTGTATTTTAAGAATGTCTTTCATGTTGTGCACGCAATCCTGTTCAGATCCATGTAATGTTGAGTTGCTCTGGAATTTCTTGTGCAGATCTAGTCTCCTGATCTCAGCTGCTTAGCTTGCAAAGCCTTTGATGTGCAGACTGTCTGTGTGGTTTGCACAGCACAGTCTACTCTGACAGTTATTAGTAGAAGAAACTGGCAGAGCACAAGGGCTGCAATTAGGGTAATGCTATTAGATTGCATGTTGTTGTAGTGTACTGTATGGATAGCCTTTATCTAGTCACTGTCCCCAGATCATGAGTAATGGCAATTTTATAGCGACCATCTATTACCAAGATGCTCAGAAAGACCGGGATTTCCTAATCTTCAGTTCAATGACCTTAAAGATAATTTTTTCCTGATCCTTGAGGAGATACCCTGGTGCTATAAATGAAAATTTTCAGTGAATTTGCATCCTAGTACTCAGCTTGTAACCTCTGGATTTCACCTTCTGCCTTGGTGGTCCAGTGGGGTCAGCCCCAACATAAATTCCGAGTGTACTTTCATCTTCCTTGTACTACACCGCACAGTCCGGAAGGTATAAATTAGACATATTCAAGTATTTGACTAATGTACTGAGTCTATTTTAAGCAGAAAATTCAGTAATTTTCTGTTAAGCAGAGGTAAGTTTGGATGTACTTTTGTTTGTGTTTATTCTCAGAAGTATTTTTCATTTATAGTGTGAGCATCTCCCCCTCAAATTCTTCTCCTGTTTTTCTTTACTGTATCCTGTTGTAATATTCCCTTTGGAAGGTCTTTTAGAGAGTATTTTTTTACAGATTCTAAAAACTTCCTTCCTGGCATTTGCATTCTCTCTTCAGATGTCAAAATCAAAGATAATGGTCCATTGCTGGTGTTTTGGGAAGGGAGGGGTAGGCAAGGGAGTTTGCAGTCTCTACACACTCGTCAAGTCAACATACTTTACGTGCAGTGTGAGGGACTTAGTGTGTACCAACAGTAGCTCACTGTTAGCCAGTACAAGAAGGAGACATTGAAATTCAAAGCAAGCATTTTGAAAATTGTCAGTATTTTCTGATCCATTTCCCCACATACAAAGCCAACAGATCTTCCAAGGAACTTTGTGAACGTGGTGCAAATCTAAATACGAATGGCGATTTTGTCCGCAGAGCATGAATATAGAGTTGTTCTGTCAGCACCAGGGATGCTCTGGACAACAGTTTCAGTCTGAGGCCTTTGAAAGATAACAGTAATGCTGTTCATTTACCCCTAGTGCTATCTCATACAATGTAAAGTTTCTGCACCAGCTCCCTAGCAAAGCAGGAAGAGAGGTCAGGAGCAGGAAACACAGCTATGGCATTGTTGTACCTGTGGAGATTTGGGTTCAGCTCCTGTCATCATATCATACATAGAAATAGTTTGATGCTTTTGCTGTTCCACGTCTGGAATATTTCAGCATATGTGGTCTTCAGAGGCCTAAAACTACAACTAAATCATCATCATCAACTGAGATTCCAATAGATGAGCTGTGATACAAGTGCTTTTTCCAAAACTTCTGCTTTTTATGCCTGGGTTAGACCTTAATTTTCACATTTTCAGAAGTTAAACACACTCAATAGATATTCTTCAGAAATAATTACGCTAGGAAAAAAACACACAAAATATTCAAAATATCACCAGACACTGAAAGCTGAGTTGATAGTTTTGTAATGAGTTAGAAAATAATTCTTATTTTCTCTATTTTTTGAAGACCTTTTGGTGGTTTTGATGCAGCCCAGAACACACTGAAAGAGGAAGTGCACTATGACAATGACCCAATAACAGGACATTTCTAGAATCCCAGAATATTCTGAGTTGGAAGGGACCCACAAAGATTATCAAATCCAGCCCTTAAGTGAATGGCCTATATAGGTATCAAACCCACAATCTTGGTGTTATTAGCACCATGCTCTGACCCGAGCTAATAGGTCAGCCAAGTGGACTTTCTGAATTTCTTTTAAATAGTTTTGTTGGAGTTGCCACTTCTAAGGTGTTTCCAATGTATAAAAACAAATGTTTTCTCATGGTGGTCCCATTTGAAATGATACTAAGCATTCACATTGTAGACCACAGACAAATTCAATACTACTACTACTACTATTTTTTCCTCTATGAACTGCTGAAATGTCATTCAATCTTCTGTTTAATTTTTTATATGTATGCATTATATATAATGTGTTATACAGTTACATATTTGTTCGCTATGTTTTTTGAAAATACACAGCATCTGAACACACAGTGTAGAAAACAATTGTAAAACAAACAGATCCTTTCCCATTGTGTAGAAAACAACTACACTGTAGTTAAAAAAACAGATCCATGACCACCAAAGTCAAGGAATCTTGCTCAAAATTCATGAGTGCTGTGAACTTCAGGAGAAGATTTTCCTGCTTTTGGATATTTAAGACCATTTTACCGTGACAGGAACAGGAGCTCTGCAATTTAATACAACATTCTCAGAGACAGTTTTCTCCCAGTGTAATGCTATCAGTCTTTCATCTCCATGTGAAAGCTTACCTGCTTTCACCAAACTTGTTTAATTGCTGTTGAAAGCTCCTGTCATCTGTCAGAAGTAGTTGAAATTGCTCCTCGTATCCAAAAGTCATTGTGGGTTCTTGGAGACTGACAGGTACACAAGCACAGTTAAATGAGCTGCTTAAAATACATATTCTGTATCATGGGAGGGCAGAACCCCATGGAAAAGAGGGAGGGCTTGCTCTACACAGGAAAGGTCAGTAATCCAGTTGCTCCTCTATCCACTGTTTTCAAGCCTTTGGCTTTGTAAGTCTAACAGTTTAGGACAGAGTAGCACTGCTTATTTGGGTTGTAGGCTATATTTCTGAGCTAAATACCTTTAATTATCACCATCTCAGTTTGCAACAGGCATTGCTAAGGAAGATCTCTGTATATGTATAACATGTTACAGTCTTCATTGGCCTGTGTGTAATTATGTTTTTGTCTCCTTACAACTTTTGTTTCATGTGTAATCTATACTGTATGCATTGCACTCTCCCTTGGGAAAATAAATTAGCATTTTAGCAGTTAGCATGAGAAAGGAGTGTGCTGAGACAGATGCTTAACTCACATTCTAAAAGAGAGGTAATCTGCAAGATGTGTACTATTCCCTGTTTGCTGAGCTTGCTGGATCAGCACACAGTGTCACAATCTCCCGGCAGCAATGTGTTCAGATTGAACGTGATGGGCTGCTCAGGAACCAGCAGCTCTCTCCCAGCAGCCACCTTTTGTGGTTTGCTGTGTGGATATACTGGAACTTGCAGTGCCCATGCAGATGCACTAGAACTTGCAGTGTGTGTGATCAAAGGAGCACTTGTGTGTTCCTCCAGTTGTACCAACTAGTGCAGTCAAAGATACAACTTTTCCACATATGGAGAGGCCCTTACCCCTCTGAGGTAAGAGCAGGGTGCCCACGGTGCCCAGAGCATCCTGACTCAAATGTATGTCTTTGCAAGTTCTTATTGTATTGATGGAAGTAACACACTTTGTAAAGCATGCCCTGTTTTTCTTAGCTAGATTGCACAGGCTTTAAACACCTCAAGAGACAATCCAGGGTTCAGTGCTGGGTTTTGTCCTCTTATGGAAAGGCAGGTAATCAGGCAGGCACAGTAACCAGGCAGATCTGAAAGGTCGATGGGCCCCTGCCTGTTCTCAGAAGGGTTTCTGCAGAACTTCCTAGTTTGTGCT